TTTACCTGTATATAACATATTTGCCTTTATTTTAACCACTAATTTTTGAACCTCATACGACATAAGTACAATTTGTCCTCGGAAATTTAAATTTGAATTTACAAGAACAACAACATTTATTCTTTGGCCTCGAAACTCCCCACTTTAATAAATATTCCAGCAAAATAGAGATGCAATTAACGTCAAGCTTGTATATAAATCCGTATCCATTAAAACTTATAAAACTTCCGAACTTTTGAGGAAACTTGAAACCGTTTTTGGCAAGAAATGCAGCAAAGCCACGAAAAACGAAAGAATGTCAAAAATAAATTTGTAAATTTTTCCTTGTACATACAAAATTATTGACTCCATTTACGATATCTAAATACTGTATATCCAATGTCTACTAATTATTAAAAATTGAATTTAACGATTAAGTTATTCAATTGATATTTCAATTTTATTTTATTTCTATGTACAAGTTACAATTTCCTAAAAAAATGAGGTTCTTTTGGTAAATCTTCACATCGGTTAAGTTGTTAAAAATTTGAACTTGTAAGAATAAAGTTTTCTCAATCTATTCCACATTCTAAGCAAAAGATTCATCTGTCTCAAACTTAGTTTGTTTCGAGTTCAACGCCGAAGCAAATTTTGTGAAGAAGTAGAATTATTTGTAAGCTGGTAGATTCTCCCCACTGTTCGAATAGTTACACACAAAGTAGAATTTGGATGATTTCAATTGGTTTCATCAAACTCACTAAATTTGCCAAAATTTTTAACATGCAGAAATTAATTAGAATAGTCATAAATCATCATCTTACCAAGCAATTAATTATTCAAATCTTATATTTCCAGTATTTCATCAATCCGGTTTGTCTGGTACAGAAACTAGATATGCAAGTTAATTTAAAACTTTCGAAATCCCAATTTCGTTGGGACAAAATTTAAAGTGGGAAACATGTCGCCCGAATTTTTTGCTGAATTACCAACTGGAAAATGCATATAAAAACCAATGCGTTGACAGACCAAGAATCTGGTTAGGATTTTTTAAATTGCGTTAATTCCATAAATTACATTAACGGCGTTAAAGATAATCATTTAATAAATACTTCAATTAAATAACTATAATATGGCAGACAAGGGGATGTTTTGCTAGTTCAAAATTTCCGAAAATTAGATTAATTAAAATTTTAATCTAATTTTAATTTTGATTTATCATACTTGGCAATAAATTTTCACTAGAGGAAGCATCAAAATTCGTCAAAATTTTAGTTAATTTGATTTCTGATCTGAGTTCTGATTTTTGGAAATTTACATCGAACTTGCATAACCCTATGTACACAAGTAAAGTGTAGGAACCCTGATTATGTCATTATGAATGTTCCTAGCCTTAATGTTTTTGAAATTTTCAAAGTTAAATTTCCGCTTACAGCTTTTATTTATTCAGCGGCGAGCTAAAATAATTATTTGAATATTAAAAAATGCTATTGACCAAAGTGTTTATAACCTAAATTCAAATTTTGGATTATTCAATTCCTGAAATTAATTTATCGGCGTCGATGGCTAACAGTTTAATTACAAAATTAAAAAAATATGTATGAAATCTTATTAGTGTATTTTAATTGGAACAAAATATTAAGTAATGTTTCTTTAGACACATTTTACAATATATATCAAACTTGAATCATTAACAATTCATAGTGATAAACTTATTACCTTTACATAATTGTTAATATAGTGAACGCTTACTTAATCCAAAATATCTTATTTGAAATTTAATTTTACAAAGTTTTTGGTTTCACCCTTTCGTTACATGCGCTTAACGGTTTATTACCCTTCGATACCAATTTTGAACAACACAATAACAAGATTTTTTCCGTCAAACTCGACAAACCTATTTACACATTTTGCGCATTTGGTTTACATCATCCTTTTATTTTCGACGTGAACCTATGCAAACAAAGTGGTAACATTAAATTAAAAAAAACGGTCAGATTACCTTTATCCGAGACAAATAAATTTTATAAAGATTTTAAGTTGAAAAAAAAAATTTTAATTTAAAATTTTACACTAGTTAATACTTTTAAATTAGGAGGAAAAGGAAATTTTGTTGAAATAATTGTCCTTAAACCACACAAATACTATTTATTCCACGAAACTCTGATACTACCTAATGTTCAATTGACACATTAAAAATCTAAGAAGTTATTTTTTGGCGTCGAAATTTCCCACTTTAATAAATATTGCAGCGAAATGGAGAAGAAATTTGCGTCAACCAAGCTCGTTTTCGAATTTAATTCAGAAATGCCCAAAAATATACTCGTTAATTTGGCAGAACCGAATTGTTTCACATTTTATTAGGTGTGAAATCTTAATGATGAATTTTAATTAGAAGAAAATGTTAATTGGTATTAATTTACTAAAAATTTTACGCGTTAATGACTATCAAACAATTAAAGAAAATACAAAGCTGTAATTTGTTCATTCTTCGAAATGTGTAAGAGAAATGAAAAATGTGGAAATATAAATTAAATTATTTAAAGTGAGAAAAATATTTTAATCAAAATTTGAAATATAAAATTCAAAAAATCAACCCAAAATTCCCCACCGGAATAAAATATACAGAAAAAATATAAAATACTATATAATTAAATTCACTTACTTTTTTAGTTTAATTGAATTCATTTTTTATATCTGTGAATGAATAAATCGCTAAAATTTCAAAATATTCCTGAATGAATTTCACTCTTCAAAAATTATTAGTGTTTTATTTTATTTTATTTATGTACCTACAAAAATTCATCAGAATCTACCCACGCGTAATTGAAACGCAGGAAATACAATAACACGAATCAAAATATTATGTAAACATGCTCAACATAAAAGCAAATAAAAATCAATATCATTCAAATAATAATTTATTGATAGTTTTATGTGCTCATTTTTTCATTGGCCAAGCATTTGTGCAAAGGCTCGCATAAAAATGCAAATCTTTAAATATTGCATTGCAATTTTCTTATTGTGCTCATTCTGTCAAACAATTAAAGGTACTTAAGTGACTTTGTTTACAATTTAAGTTATTAAAAATGCAAGATATTTTTTCCAAAGTAAATATTGTGTTCGTAAAAAAAATAGCAAAAATACAAAGATAATGTGGCAATCAATTTTGCGCGCAAACCATGTTCCGCCCTTTTGACCATGTTAGTTTGGAAGAGCAACTCTTTAGAAACATCATTTATTTAGTGCCGCACTGGCGCAGATGCGAAAAATTCAGTAAGTTTTGGGAACCGCAAGTTTGCAGCATCTGTACATTTTTGCTGTAGTAATTTCGCGATTTTATGAACTTGTGGAGCCCAAGAGTTACTAAATTTTTCGCATTTGCACAAATGCCGGGATAAATATTTTTTTCTAAAGAGTTGCTCTTTCAAAGTAACATGATTAAAAAATAATCTGGGGTAAACATGGTTTGCGTCCTGATTGTAAGATTGTAAAAAATCCTCATTTTTATTTGCTCAATAGCATCAGTAACTATCTATTATTACTTTCAATTTTTTGAAAGTATTTTTGAAAACCCTTCGTAACTATGAAATTTTCGTAAAGTTCGAAAATTCACGCTACTTACGACGTTGATTACAGTTTCAAAAGTGTAAACCCAATATTCTCAATTGGATTATAATTAATTTATTCCAGGGGACGATTGCAAACCGCCCGACGGCTACGAAACTATTGTCGACGGGTCGAAATTTCTCTGGAAAAAGACAACCGACAAGGAAGGTCACGGACCCGTGGGAACCTCGATTTCCGACCTGTTCGAAAAATACTGCCCTTCATCAGCCAAACTGGAACCGTGGATTCTCCGCTCGAAATTTGACTTTGCAAGCTATAAAGAATTCTACGAAAGGATAGAAGACATTCCGGAAAAAGTATTTTATTGGTTTCCAACCGGTACGGCTTCAATATGCGATTTGATAATGGATTTTTACAATTTATTTTACAATTTATTTCAAATTTTCGTGAAATTCAGGTTAAAAAAGTTGATATGAACAATTTTCTTCGGATTTTCAGATAAAATTATATCATTTTTTTTTCAGGAGTATTCCAATATCATGGCTGGTTCTATTATCTCATCGATAATACGACAAAACTGGAAGATGGCGATTTTGAAACGTATTGCAAAGCTACATCGTGTAGAATGCCGGATGTAAGAATTTTTAAACGTTTATCTAAAATTGTTACCATTTATTCAGTGAAATGCCATTCTTATTTATTTCAGCCAGAGAAAGACGGAAATTTGAGACTCTGCCTTCACATGCAGAGTTTCAGGGTAAACAAAATTCGAATTTGATTTTTTTTGTAAATTCTGTGGAATTATGTTTCAGATTTTTTGTGTAAAAAATCACCAGAATTATGTCTCGCAGCATATACTCCCCGATTTTGATCAAATTAGGGTCAATCCATCACAAATTTAATTGGAATGAAATTTGCAAAAGATATGATCTCCCAATGGTCACGTTTGGCAGAGATATTTGCATCCGAAGCGGAGAAATCACGCTTTAAATTGAACAAAATTTTACACTTTCCAAATTTACTGCGAAATTTACTGCGAATTTACTGGAAAGTGTAAAAAAAATAACTTTAAAGCGTGCTTTCTCCTCTTCGGATGCAAATATCTCTGCCAAACGTGACCATTGGGAGATCATATCTTTTGCAAATTTCATCCCAATTAAATTTGTGATCAATTGACCCTAATTTGGTCAAAATCGGAGAACATACGCTGGGAGACCTTCATTCTTATTTGCTGCAATTAATTTAATTATTATTTTAGATGCACGATCCGAAGCAAATGGATTACATGAAAGCGGTGGAACTCGAGTACAAAATCCAGTCGATATACAAGGCGTTGGCAGTTTGTCAGTGGCAGAAGGGATCAAATTGTTACAAGAATAGTAAAGAAGGTAAAAATCCAGGTGGATTTCTGCTGCGATTTACTACCAAACGGTGATAATAAGTAATTTGGTAAAATGCGCGGCGGTAAAATTGCTATTTTTGACCATCGAGCAAGCCCATTTTGTCCTGCGTAGCGACCACGGTCGGTCGTCGACCATCGACCAATTGGTCGCAAAATCAACCAATCGCAGTCATTTGGTACTCGATGTAATACACGATTTTTAGCATTACAATTTTGTAGAAATTTCACTATGTTTGTCACCGTTTTTTGGTAATTTGATACTAATTCTAACCTATTCGTGGAAATGTTTTCACCAACTCAAACGGAGGAACATAGGTAAGTTATGTAATAATTTCTGAAAATCTGATACTTTTTCACAGAAAAAGCACTAGCTGCTGAGAACGAGGAAGCAAATCAATTCACCGAACTCGCCAGGACTCATTCTGGACGGATTGTCGTGGCGAAACGTCAAGTCAGATTTTAATTACCATAATTACAAACACCCGGGTGATTTAAATTTGAGACGACTAATGCTCCCACTTTTGCGCAGAGATCCTACCCAGGCGCCAAACAGCTTTGCATGGACTTCGGAATGAGGGTGATTGCTTGGAATGAACTCAAGTTTAAAAATGGCAACGTTGAAGAGCTGTACTTAAAATATCGCAGAACTCAACGTACGTAAAATACAATTATATCTTATTCAGCCTGCATTCACATTTAACATTGTAGTCCCGCATTTATGTGGGATCAGCCACACATTTCCCTCTAAAACGTTTTCTTCCTCCATCTCCTGCCTACTTCCAGCTCACTGCCTACTTCCAGCTCACTGCCTCATTCCGCTTTGTGTGCTCGTATCAGTCACATACGTTCCCTCTCCTCCGCTCACAAAAATATTCAATAAAAATATTTAATAATAATAATTTTTCAAGAACTCTTGAAAAATATTCAAATATAAGTTGAGTAACCGGGTAACCTTTTTTGAAGCCATAAGGAACTTATTATGATAATAATATAAAATATATCATTGAAATATCAAAAAAAAACAAAAAAAGATATTAATTTTTTGGTTTGTGTTCCTCCTTGCACTTTATTACTTTATAGGAAATGAGTTCTTCAAAACGACATCGTAGCCATTCGACGTCATCCGAGTCGTCAGTCTCTAAAGCATCCCGACATAAGCGCAAAAGGAGTCACTGCAGTTCGCGGGAAAAGAGCTCCAAGCGCTTTCGTCGTTTGGAGGATGCCTTGGTCAAATTAACGGACCAAGTCGCAAGGATTTCTCAACCGTTGTCTGCTCCAGGAAAGACGTCTCGTGAGACTTCTCATGATTACACGTCATCGGAATCCGATAACTTTTCCCCACGGCTGAAATCAGCAAGACGGAGAGACAAATCGGAAAAGGATGACGACATCCTTGAACTTGAGGCTGACAATGACTTGGATGAAGAATCACTTGCGATTCTCGGGAAAGTTCCCAACTCTGAACAAAAGTTTGGACCGCCAATTCACAAGGATTTGGCTGCTCGTTGGGAACCTTATGCAGGGAAAGGAGTGGAAAATAAGGAAATTAATGCTTTACTTGAGCAGTATCTGCTCCCCGAAAACTCCTTTAAAATTGCATCTCCAGTATTAAACCCAGGAATAAAGCTGGCTTCTCCGCCGTTCGCCGTTGAGAGAGATCAACAGTTTTCTGACATGCAAAAACAATTGGCGACTGGAATCACAGCACTGGGACATGGAATAACATGCATGATGAAAAATCAAAAGACTGAAGATTCCTTCAAGCAAATGTTTACTGATTTTTCCAACTCTGGAAAGCTTTTGTTGGATTTACAGTATAAACTTTCTCTCCGAAGAAAACAGCTCCTGCTCGCCAATGTCAAGTCTCCTGTCTTGAAAAATCAAATTGGAGAAACGAGCATAGATACGTTGCTGTTTGGGGAAGATTTACAATCACGTGTAAAATCAGCCGAGGACATGGAAAAACTGAGCAAAAATTTGGTGAAATCATCACCAGCCACTAAGGCACCTTCCGCCAGTTCTAAACCTCGCTCATCTGTATCCATCGTCAAGAAAACTTCTACCGGGTCAAAAAACTACCGAGGCCCGCTCCGCAGCAGAACTGCGAACAAGAGCGGGCGCTCATATCCGTACCAGAACGACCGTCGTCGCCGCCAATAAACCTGGTAAGTGTGGCAGGACGACTGACGTATTTTATAGAACAATGGAAATCCTTTACTCAGGACCCTTTTGTCCTCCAGTGTGTCCAAGGATACAAAATTCCATTCGTTTCAAAACCGAAGCAAATTTTCATTCCGAAAAATAAGGTTGCATCTCAAATAGAGATTTATGCTATTGAATCCGAGATTGCTCGCCTACTTTCTTTTGGGGCAATTAGTTTATCTAAACCAGAACGAGACCAATTCGTCTCCCCCATTTTTCTGGTTCCCAAGCCTGATGGGAAATTTCGTTTCATCCTTAACTTGAAACAGCTTAACAAATCAGTTAGGTGCCCTAAATTTAAAATGGAAGATTATAGGACCGCTCAACGCCTTGTTTCACCGGGCTGCTATTTTACAAAATTAGATCTTAAAGATGCTTACTTTCTCATTCCAATTGACACTAGTCATCGCAAGTTTTTAAAATTTGCATGGAATTCACAACTTTACAATTTTAATTGTCTACCATTTGGCCTGAATACGGGCCCAAGGGTTTTTACTAAGCTCTTAAAACCAATTTTGGCACGATTTAGAAAACAGGGTTTTCTAATTGTTTGCTATATTGATGATTTGCTCATCTTGGGCAATTCGAAACAATCAACTTTGAATGCTACTCAGGTCATATTAGAGACATTCGTTGAGTTGGGATTTATTATAAATAATCAGAAATCTGTTTTAGAGCCGGTTCAAGATATTCTCTTTCTCGGTTTTATTTTTAATTCCTTACGAATGTCAATACGACTTCCATTTGATAAAGTTACAAACATTTTGAGTCTATGTGACCGCATCATGAGAGTCGAACATATTAAATTACGAGAGTTTGCAAAATTTTGTGGGGTTCTAAATTCGGCTTGTCCAGCCGTTCCTTACTCTCGCTCTCATGTCAAAATCTTTGAAAGAGAAAAGTTTTGTGCTTTAAGAGCTAATAATGACTCTTATAATGTCACCATTCCTATATCAAAATTGATAAAGGATGAGGTGACATGGTGGTTGGAAAACCTTCAAAACTCAGAGAACCAGATAATGACGGATCTCTTCGACCACGAAATTTTCACGGATTCATCTTTGTCGGGTTGGGGAATTACTTGCAATGGTGAAAAAATGCATGGTTTTTGGAGTTATCGCGAACAGTCGCACTCCATTAACTACTTGGAATTAAAGGCTGCATATTATGCGTTGCGTTATTTTGCCAAAGACTGGTCGAAATGTAATTTATTAATGCGGATTGACAACACCACAGCCATATCATATATAAATAGAATGGGTGGAGTCAGACACCCTCGATATATTGCTTTGGCAAGAAAATTTTGGGATTTTTGCGAGTCAAAACGTATAATTGTCTTTGCATCATATATCAAATCAAAGGATAATACAATTGCTGACACAGAGTCACGTGCAACTGATTCTGAGAGTGAATGGGAACTTCACCAACGCTATTTCAATAGGTTGAGTGAAATTTTTGGAACCCCTGAAATGGATTTATTCGCCTCGGTTGATAATAAAAAATGCGAAATTTACGCATCCTGGCGTCTAGACCCTTTTTCATATAGGGTCGATGCCTTTACCTTTTCATGGAAAAGCATAAACTTTTATGCTTTTCCACCATTCTCATTAGTTCTGAGATGTCTAAAAAAGATTAAAACCGATCAGGCTGAAGGGATATTAATTGTCCCATGGTGGCCTAACCAACCTTGGTTTCCACTTTTTAGGCAAATGTGCACTAGTGACCCAATTATGTTTGGTCCGTCTGATGATTTGCTGCTTTTATCTAACAGGATTCATCCCATGAGCCGAACTCTTATCCTGGCTGCGTCGAAAGTATCCGGTCATCAATGATCAAGAATGGTTCTCCAATTGAAGCTGTTGACGTCATTATTTCATCTTTATCAAAATCAACTATTAAAATATACAACTCGTCTCTTAAATCATGGTGGGAATTTTGTGCCGCGTCAAATCTTGACCCGTACTTTCCATCCGTTGAATCTGTCCTAAAACATCTCACTGCTCGCTACCATGCAGGAGTTGGCTACAGTTCGATTAATACATCTCGCTCCGCTATATCTTTGTTGTCACCGCGTTTGGACCGACCACTGGGCCAAGATCCTTTGGTGTCACGGTTTGTAAAAGGAATTGGGAAAATCAAACCACCAGCCCCGAAGTACAATTGTACGTGGGACCCCCAATTGGTTTTAGATTATTTGGAAACCTTGGAGCCTTTGGCGACACTCAGTCTCGAGTCATTAACGCTAAAATTGGTTGGGTTACTTGCACTCGCAACAGGCCAACGCGTACAGACTTTGCAATCTATTGATATCAATAGTATTTCTGGAATTGGTTCAAGTTCTGTCAAAATTGTGATTACTGCTCAAATTAAGACCTCTCGTCCAGGAGCAACACAACCATGCTTATGTCTTCCAAGGTTAACTGAAAAACCACAGTTATGTCCAGTTACGTGTTTGGAGAAATATTTGGAGGTCACCAAGCCGTTTAGGACCCACTCACAAATGTTTCTCGGACTCAGCAAAAATCATTTGCCGGTTTCAACACAAACAATTAGTCGTTGGATCAGAATGATTCTTGAAAAGAGTGGTGTCAACACTTCAAAATTCGGTTCTCATAGCACTCGACATGCATCTACATCTACAGCTAAGGCTAGAGGAGTCCCAATTGATTACATTCAACGAGCAGCAGGATGGACAGACAAGTCAAACACATTTGCCAAATTCTATAATAGACCAATTATTGACTCAGATTTATTTGCTAGGACTGTTTTATTAAATGAACATCAATAAAGGTTACTTTTCCGGTTACTCTAATTTTGCGATTGCTTTAAACAACTACAATGTTAAATGTGAATGCAGGCTGAATAAGATATAATTGATCAATTGAACGAACTTGTGAAGTTCGATTCAAATTATATTTATGAAAGCCTGCATTCGCATTTAACACCCACCCATCCCAATCAGAAAATGTTGCAACATTTCCGATTTCCCCTTCGCAAAATTAATGCGGAATGAGGCAGTGAGCTGGAAGTAGGCAGGAGATGGAGGAAGAAAACGTTTTAGAGGGAAATGTGTGGCTGATCCCACATAAATGCGGGACTACAATGTTAAACGTGAATGCAGGCTTTCATAGATATAATTTGAATCGAACTTCACCAGTTTGTTCAATTGATCAATTATACAATCGAAATTTGAAGCACGAACATTATAGATTTTTTCCAAATAATTAACAACATCCATTCTGCTCATTCCGTGTAAAAAAAGTTAATTATTGCCAATGAGTGTTTACGGGAGAGTGAACATTAATGAATTTAATGGGTTTTCAGGATTTCAATGAATTCATACATGCTTTTCTTAGTCAACTACATTTCGGCTATATTTTTGACGATTTTCAAAAAATTCCTGCGGCCAAACGGGGCGTGTAACCACCAGGGGACTTCCTTGGAGTGACAGCCCAACATAGGTAGCGTCGTTTGAGATAGCTACGAACCCATAAATCAGGTCGCGCACTGCGCCACGAGGTCGCAAAGTTGGCGCAGAATGGAAAATTTCGATGTTTGGAGGCCGATAACTTTGCTCTGGAACGTCGTACGTTGGTGTAACTTACATGAATTTGGGTTAGCTTTCAAAGATCTATCGAATGCAATAGTTTTCAAAGCCACACCCCCTCAAATGGAGATAACTCCTCCCCCAGGGGGTGTGGTCGCACTACAGTCATATAATTTGTGTCATCCGTCCCCAAACTACCTCATATGCATAAATAGCTCAAAAAAAGTCATAAAATAATTTCTAACATTTCCTACCATAAGGCAGCCCCATTGTGCGCTGCTGACTGGATGGTTGCAGGCTCCCTCGCTGCTTGGCAACCCTCGATATTGTCACTCCGCACGACTACTCGCAGCGAATTCCCAACTCGAGGCTACTCCTTTGTAACACCCCGAGCCTAACTAATTACAACTTTACACATAAAATTACTAGCTATCCTACTAATTAACTATACGATATTTTTATTACTACTTGCTATTACTATTTACTTACTAATTATGCATTAACATCCTTCAAAATATAACTAGCACGCACACACTGAGGCATCAACTTAAATACATATATCACAATTGCTTCAAATTCATAAATCCTTCACTAAAATTCATGTTTGTCTCCTAATTTCAGCGAACATTTACACGCTGTATTTTTGGGTCGACGTTGGCGACAATGCTCCAACAAAAGCGCCGAAAAATGGGGCAAAGTCGAGACGAAGGAGGTCCCCTGAGGACGAAGAATGGGACAAGAAGTGCTGGGGCATGCAATACCTTCAACCCGAGGTTTGGGAAGGTTGGCTTCCAAATTTGCATGAGAGATGGTGCCATCAACCGCACCCAGTCATTTGCATTGATGATAACGTACTCGCTTAAAAAATAAACTTTCACTTGTGGTGAAAAATTTAAATTTTCCTCAAAATGTTCGTAATTTTTTGGCGGATTTGGGTGCACTGATTTAGAAAACTGACAACAAATGTATATAAGATTTGCATACGAGATACATAGAATTCAAAATTTACCCCCTTATTTTTCATCAGGCTCATAAACTTTCAATGTCTCATTGTTAAAAATTCAAATTTTCCTGGAAATACTCGTAATTATTTTGGTGGGTTTCCATGCACTCTTCGAAAACTGATAATTAACAACAAAATTTGTACAAGATACGTAGAATTCAAAATTTACCCGCTTATTTTGCAACAGGCTTTTATAAACGTAGTTGAGAAAATTCAAATTTTCCTGAAAATATTCATAATTTTTTTTGGTGGATTTGGTAAGGGTGCACTCTTAGAAAACAGATATTAACCATTTAATCTGTGAAAGTGGCATATGTCGCTTTGGCGACTTGTCCGTAATTCGTGACAAAGGCATATGTCATCACCAAAATCCGCTCCATAACCCGTGACGACGACATATGTTGCCGCAGAAAACCTTACCTTAATTCGTGAGGTAGACGTTTGTCGTTCCCTGGCAAATTCGCCATAATTCGTGACGTCGACATTTGTTTTTAGCCCGAGCAAGGGCTTATGTAATTGTCATGTCCGTCCGTCTGTCTGTCTTTCGATAACTCTGGAACGAGTTGGCCGATTGACTTAGGTTAGGAACCGAGTTCGAAGATGGACAAAATCGGTCCACTGGTTGACCCGTAGGGGTCATCTGGGTGGGTGGGGTATTATGCACCAAAATTTCGAAATTCTCGTAGAAAGTTGAAATTTGGTGCAGAGGTAGTAAATGGGTCCTGAAGGAAGAATATGAACTCAAATTGGTAAAATTTTCATCTGGAAGGGTCCTATTGGGTGACCCATACTGATTTTTCAAAATCATCATATCATGCTGAAATTTGGCATTTAGTTTTCTTATGGCTCTTGATGGAAGAGTATACATTGGAATCTGAAAAATTTTCATCTGGAAGGACCCTAGGCTATGGGGTCACCCCACCAATTTTCAGGAATTAACATGGAAAGCTGAAATTAAAACCAGAGATACTTACTGCCTTCTCATGAAATAATTTAGGAAGTTAAATATGAACAAAAATTGGCCAGAGGGACGCTAGGGGTGGTCCACACCGATTTCTAAAAATGTATATAATCAGCTGAAATTTAGTATGGAGTCAAAACATAACGTATCTCAAGATAAAAATGTATTCAATTCCACGTCATATTCTTCAATTGCAAGCAACTATCAACTTACATACAAATTTTGAATTTTCGTCACCCTTGACCCACCGGCCAACCACTTGACCGATCGAACCAGTCTTCGAACCCGAGTTCTGTATTTGGATGGTATATATGTGTGGAAAATGTCAGATATAAAGAGTTAACGTATGACAGACGGACAACACGGGTGCATAAGCCCTGGGTCGGGCTAAAAACTAAAGATTTTGCGAAAACAAACGTTTGTCACGGAGTAAAATATTTGACTGGCATTTTTGGTTACGAATAATGATCCCTTAGAGATAAAGCTCCCTCACGAATTAAGGTAACTCTACTGTCGCCTGGTTACACGAATTATGGACATCGTAACTTTTACTTGTCCTCTTTAAATGGTTAAATAACAAATACAAGACTAGAGTTGCATATAAATCAAAATTTACCGCTTTATTTGGCAACAAATACAACTGAAATAGTTATTAAATTAATTAAATTTACAAATTATACTCGTTCGCGCTATGACCTCGAGCAGAAAGATTGGTAACTTGAAATGTCGCTCCGGCCATGGGCTGACTCACCAAAATCGGCTGACTTAGCCCGGATTGGGCCGACGTTACGAACAATGTGTCCAGATTCGCCCCACCGAACATTACCGAGGTAATGTTAAACGTGGGAAATCTAATTGATCCGATTTTCGTTCCTTGCTCGGGATCAATTTTGATCACCTTAAATAAATTGAAGACTTTTAATTATATGGAAAGGATAATATGAACAAATGCAAAATATTGTAGTAATTCACATAGTCCTTGGTAATTTTATAAAATCCATAAATTTTGTAAGTACTAATGTTGCAAACTTTTACAAAATAAAAAGATGCCCTTGCTCTGATCAAGTGTACAAAAATTTGGAAGCTAATTTTCCTCAGAAATATTTGTAAAATTTTGTAAAAGTTTACAAGTTTATAGCATTTCAATGGTGAACATATTTACACAAATTCAGGTGGATTTTATGAATATTGAGCCAACTCACGCAGCCCTTGGTACCTTTGTAAAATCCGTGAATTTTGTCAGATTTTGCAAAATTTTACAAAGACGCCTTTAATTTGATTTGACAATGCGATGGTGTGAAGTGTAACCCTCCGATTTGGTTGAAATTTCGAAATTATGTGGTTATATAGTCAGAATTTGGCAAAATAATTGAGGTTAAAGTTGAAAAATGTGCAATTTTTAGCACGGGAAGAGAATGGAAGTTGAGTTTGCTTCCTCCGCCTGGTAAAAATCGCCCGTTTTTCAACTTTGACCTCAAATATTTTGGAAAATTTTGACCATCGCACAAACTGCCTCAAGAAACGTGAGTTGCATTGACATGGACCACGTAATTTCGAAATTCCAACCAAATTGGAGGGTTACACTTCACACCATCGCATTGTGAGTAAGTGTACAAAACATTTGCAGGCTAATTTTCCTCCATTTCGTGAAAGTAAATTTTGTAAACGTTATAGAATTTACGGATTAAACAAAATTACCAAGACTTGCGTGATCTGTTTCTGTGTTCTCAAAATACCTGAGATCCTCCGAAACACGCCACATACAAGTGTCCATTGACATCAGTCGTCATACCGTCCGGACTTCCGAGCTCTCCAACTGTGTTAAAGTTGTAAACGGTCCTTCGATTGCCTATAATTTCGAGTAAATTATTTGCCATTGCTTAAGAATAATTAATGCGTGTAAGTACTTGTTTGTAAGTACTTGTAAACTTTGTAAGGCATATTGTGTAAATTTGTTTGGTAGAACTGTAAATAATACGGGAGTTTTCGAGTAGTGTTGCGAAGAAATCAAAATTGAGATAATTCTAGTCTCTGAATTTTTAAAAATTTTGAAATCCTTAAAAACTCCGGGATACTAGAAGCGAGGCATCTGTTTTAGTTAATTTCAATGTATTTATTACTTTTAAATTTTTAACTGGCATTCAATCTTTCCAATTTTATTAAAACCGAATTCCGTCGAGTGTTTGCTACCCAGTAAAATTTTTCGCGTTAAAATTTCGAGTTAAAATTTCTAAAAAAACGTACGTTTTACGTACGTTTTACGTACTTTATACGTTTCAAAATTAAGAAACCTTGAGAAGCATTTGGATAAGGTGACATCTTACTTGAATTTATGAGCCTGATTTATTTGAAATTTATAACTTGACATCAAACCTTTCAAATTTTCGCTAAAACCTTATTCCCGCTGGTGATTTTCACCAAATAAAATTTTCAAAATCTTGCTTAATTAAAATTTCTCAAAAAAAATTCCATTAAATTTTTCGTATAATCTGAAATTGACGTAGTCCTTTGTGATTTTGTAAAATATTTTTTCAAATTTTTTCAAATTAAAATGGCGTTCTTGATCTCAAGTTTATACAAATTTGGAGGCTAATTTTCCTTTAAAACATTTCTAAAAGCGTTTGTAAGTTTACAGAATTTAAGGATTTTACAAAGTTACCAAGACCTGCATGAATTGCCTCAATATTAATTTTGATACAGTAACCCACCTTTTATAAATTTTTAACGAAAAGATTACTTGTAGGAGGGTTTTTAGATAATGATAGAGTAGTTTAAAAGAAATTTAAATGCCGATCTTTTGATTTTGATTTTGATTTAATTTAACAAGGACGCGTGCATGAATTGCCTCAATACAATATTTGCTCTATCCTGATTTTCATTCCTACAAATTTGCAAAGTTCACAAAATTGTCGCTATTCTAGCCAAAATCGGGAACCAGGTAAATTTCTTTAAAGAAATTCACGCCAATTTTTGAAACATCGTAAACTTTGCAAAATTATGTTACACATTTAATAAAGCAATGTCCGCGAACCTTATTAAATACATAGATATCAACTTCTAGCCCGAACATTTCCAAAATATTGACTAAATTTTCAAAAAATTAAAAGCAGAATTTCAAAAACGTACTTATTGTTCCATCCGTTTCGTCAAAGTCGAAGACGTCCACCCTCCTTGTGGCGGTGTCGATGTAGAACATCAACGTGTTATCGTTTGACCACGCTATTCCGTTCGAAATGCGAATATCCGACTCCATCGTGGTCCCAATTCCGTGGTCAACCTTGTACAGCGAAGCGTTCGGAAGTGCAAACGGATTCACGGACCCTGCCAATTAAGGAAATGATTAAACCAGAATTTTTAAATACTTTAGAGTCCTTTGTAACTATGTAAAATCCGTAAACTTGTAAATTGTAAAAATTTTGAAAGAAAATTAACTTACGAATTTTTTGTAAACTTAATTAAAGCAAGGATATCTTTTTATTTTGGAAAACTTTGCAAAATTATTTTACAAAACTTGCGAATTTTACAAATTTACCGAGAAAGAACTGTTTGAATTTTATTTTTCTCTACGAAATTTCGATTTTCATTTTTAAAGTTTTTTGTAACTTAGTAAAATTCGTAAACTTGCAAAGTTTAAAAAAATTGCAAATATTTAGGAAGAAAATTAGTTTACAAATCTTTGTAAACTTACTCAAATCAAGGGTGTCTTATTATTTTGGAAAACTTTGCAAAATTATTTTGCAAAACTTCACAGAGTTTACAAAGTCATCAAGATGAATCTCTCAAGAAAGAACTGTGTGAATTTTATTTTTCCTTAGGGAATTTAGATTTTCATCGTATTTTTTCATGAAAAACATGTACAAACCATGTTATTCTGCAGACTGTCGGCAGCAGACATATATTAATTAAACTTTGTATTAAGAATTAAGAAACAAATATTATTGAAAAATATATCCAAGTAGAGAAAATTATTACCCGAATTTGGGACTAATAAGTACATAACAAGCATTATTTTGCTAAGTTTCAAATTTTAGTGTTTACAAATTTTAGGAAATTTTCTATGGTTTTCTTTGGTTTAACGTCATGATCTTTATTTTCAGTTTGTATCAATTAACATAAAAATTTAGGTTAGATTATCTACTGACGCATATCCTTTTATCTTTTAGTATTTTAGAAAAACAATTTATCATTTGCCATTTGTTTACAGTAAATTTCCTCAAAAATTAATTCTTCATTTTTTTTAAATCGATAGTTTTGTAGTTCCAAAAATTAACCTTGCATTAAAGTATGAGAAGCTGCATTTATGTCAAAACTTGTAAAATTGATGTCATTTTAGAAATTTACATTTAAAGACAAGATTGACCAGGGGAAAAGTGAGATTTAAAATCTATGACGGAGTTATTCCATCTTATTCCACCTTAATTAACAGCTAAAAATTCAAATTCATCACCATACATAGAAATTGTTTGTGCTAGTCACCTCATTTACATATTTTCATTTTAACGCAGAAGCATAGAGTTTATTCAACATGGAAAGTCCGTATCACCGAAAATGGGCATAGTGAGATTTATGCAAATGAGGTGACACGCCTAAATACGAGGATAATTCAGTGGAATTGTTTGTGCTAGTCACCTCATTTGCATAATTTGATACATTCGCAAGAGTTTATTCAACATGAAAACCTCATATCGCCGAAAATTGGCATGATAAGATTTATGCAAATGAGGCGACACGCACTAATAATTCCACTGTATCTCTCATTCCCTTACCAGCCCAGAGGCGCCCCATTGCGTCACATTTTCCATCATTAAACGAATTGTTGGGAAACGGTTCATCAACGGATAAAATTGGCTCGAGGGACAAAGGACGATCGTCTTTTCCGTCCCATTCCAGCACTTGTAACTCCCGCCCGGTCGTTATCACATATTTATCAACTTCCCCCGCCACAGGCACGATTAAGGACACGCTCCCAAGTCCCGCTGAAATTTAAAATATTTATAATCAGATATGATATTTTACGGAAATAGTTCGAAATTATGTTGTAAAATTGTAAGATAATCTAATTTTAATTGTGCAAGACTGTCCAAAGTTTCATGTTATGTTTTCAAAAATTACAAAAATTGCATGGATTTGTAATTTATGTATATTTTACAAAATTTAAAAACTTAGATATCAAGTTAGATCCTCTCCTCAAATTACTACCTAGAAATTTAAATTAGTAATTAAAAACAACTTAAACATTCATCACGCCGTTGAAGTTGGACATTTTACGTTATGCCAAGTTCGTAAAAAATTGCTAAGTTTACACACAATTTGATTCTATAGAATTTAGTGCCTAGAAAACTTCAAGTTTAGTCTGACAAATATTGGATTAAAAATTATTATTATTAAATCAGCTCCCTCAATTGTCACTCAATGTGACAATTCTGTGCCGATTTTGTGTTAAAATTTTAACAACTTGATAAAAAAATTTAAACACTTTACAAAATAAATTTGTGAAATAAATAAACTAAATGTAATTAATTTTGTGACATTTTATGACAATTATCTGACAATTTTTTTGACAAGCTTCTAAATTTTTCTGATTTTTTAACGATTTTTTATTAATTGTCTGACAATTTTTTTTTAATTTTCCGAATTTTTTTTACAATTTTCTGCCAATTTTGGGCCTGACTAACCAATCGTGGCCTTTGTGTGGTCCCTGGTCACTGGATCGTACCGATGAACCGCAGTCCCTTCCGTGTCGACGTAGTACAGTGATTGCGTCCTCTCACTCCAATGCGGAGCTTCCCCCAGGAGGCACGTGTTCACAACTTGAACGTACGGGTTCATCTCGAAAAAATGCTAATTTTTTGCGACCTCTCTGTCCCAACAATTGACACAAATTAATTAAACCCAACTGAATTTAAATTATTACAAAAACTGTAATTTTTGGGGGTATACGCCTCGACAAATACAAACTTTTATAGACAATGACACTCGTCATTAAAACTCAATTAGCTTATCTAATCATTAGTATTGACGTTACAGGGTTCCTTGGATGCCGTGATTTTTTTTCACACACGTGTGAAGCACATGGCAAATGAGCTGTAAACTATGTGGTAAAAAAATCTTTAATAAAATATTTAAATCATAAATAAAATATTAAAATCTTTAATAAAATTTGTTAATGTCCTTAAGTAAATATGTCTTTAATCTTTAATAAATCTTTAATAAAATATTAAAATGTTTTTACAAAATGTGGAGATTCACGTCAATTAGAATTTTTAGAGGATTTATATTAAAATGTTGGAGATTCACGTCAATTAGAATTTTTAGAGGATTTATATTAAAATGTTGGAGATTCACGTCAATTAGAATTTTTAGAGGATTTAAATATAAAAATAATGCATTAAGATTTTTTGTGGCCTGACGAGTGTTCGAATAACGTCAATAAAATTATTTTCTTAAGTTAACTTCACAATTTTATTTACATGTGTAACGTTGACTAGAAATCTGTTATCCAACTTGAAAAAATTTGTAAACGTTATTTTGTAATCCGAGATAGAATTTATGCATTTTAATAAGTCCGAATTTTAATCAATGTTCTGTGAGCTGATTTATTTGGCCAGAAATGACCAAATGGTCAAAAATGTTTTTTATTTGCAAAATTATTAATCAAATTTAGCGGAATATGTATATCTGAAATTTGTGTTCCTGGTGTAATTCTCAATGAGAGAATGTTGCAGTGATACAAACCCCACAAAAAAATGGTGTAAAATGGTGTAAAATGAAATTTTATATGTGTTTTAAGGAACCCTGGTGGTTAATGCGTCGCAATTTGATAATTACAGTATGTGCATATGTATGTTGAATAACTATTGTTTTTATAATGAATCGTGGGCGTATGTATTTATGCAGCTTTTTAGGATTCTGGTTATTATAAATAATAAATTATATCAAATTACACGCAAAACAATGTTATTTCACGTGATAATTTTCCCTTGATTTTTTTATCCGTACAATTTTTAGCACGCCTTTTGTCCCCAATTTTTCTTCGTATTTAGTTGGTAGCAAAATTGTCACGAGATGAAACTTTATGTGACTCCAGTACATTTTGCGACTTAAATGTCAAAAATATTTCTCAGAGATTCAAAATTGTTACCATGTTTTAATCAATTTACGTATGTGCAAAATTTCAGTTATTTACGTGGGAATTTTTTTGACCATTCGGTCGTAAATATTTACTAAGGTGGTAGAGCACATAGAGTTTGAGATTTAGAAATATAACTCTGTGGTAGATCCGTTTACAAAATCTCGGCCATAGATATAGAATAGAGTAGATTCGGCTACTTTTGAAAAAAGCGTCTCGGCATGGAGGAGAATTTGGGGATAATTTGGGGATAACGCATGGTTGCACGGTAGCGCATGGAATTCTTAGCACGCTTGCACATCTTTAAAAAATTATTATTTGACACCTGTTTTTATTTTGGCGTTTAAATCATACGAAATCGAATAATATAAACGCCAAAATAAAAATAAGTGGTGTCAAATAATAAAATACGAGTTTAACAAGCTTGGTTTGTAGACACAGGCAGGGTTTAGTCCCACCTCAAAAACATTGCCGAGTTTTTAACATTGACAATATGGAAGAAGCCTGATCTATTCTACTCTATATCTATGATCTCGGCACTGCACTGTCGTAACTTATTTTACGATGCGAAGGATACGAACACCTAATTAACACCCTTTATACTTACTAACACTAGTTTATTTCTATTTTGGCGTAAAAATCGTTCAATTTCCAAAATTCTTTACACGAATTGTCAAAATAAAACGGAAATAGTGTTGAATAATAATTCGACTAATGTAATCGAGTAGCGATGCAGTAGAAGGCCTGCATCTCTGGCCAGCCACATTTTTCGTCGCATTTACATCATCCCCTTGCCGGTTTTGGCGTCGATCTTCGTTCCGTTAAAAAGAACAGCAGAAAAAAATAAGTTATAATCACAAACAAAATATGGCTTTATTTTTGTCGTTTGTTTTATTAACCTTTTAGTAAATAAATTAGTACAATTTATTAAAGAGGAGAGTTAGGATGACGATAAGACTAAAAAATCCGGACATATTTCGCTCCGCGGAACTCTTTCCGGTGCAGTAATCCGATTTGATCCCGTCACCCATGCAAGCAGCGAATCCGACCACGTGCGGAATGTAGCTCTGTTGGTGGACACCGGTCAATAAGTGGGCAAATGGACCCTTGGCAAAAATTAGGACCTGTTCAATAATTCAAAAAATCAATTACATTTTCAGTTTTTAGATTTTTTAAAATAATTCTTAAGAAAAATTCTTAAGAAAAAAATGTTCGTAATGAGTTTGTCAATTGTTTAATTTTTATAGGAAAACAAATTTTTAAAAAAATATTTAGAAAAAGTGTGAATAAGGATATTCACGTCAAAATTACAACTAATAAAAAAATATGCCTGGAAAATTCCGGACATAAATTATTCATAATTTTATCGATTTTTATTTTATTTTTGCACAACCAAATTATAAAAAAATATTTATTGTTCTAAAAAATTGACTTCGCATCAAAATTAATTCTGCGAAATTTACGATCTTGTAAAACTGTATTAAAACAAATTCTACTCTCTGTAGGAATTTTTGCCCACAATTTTTTTTTCGAAATTAAGTTTTTACATCAAAACTAAAGCTGTGAGAAATGTTTTAAAACCGCTGTTTTTTAACGTGAAAATCTTGTAAAACTTTTAATTTTATTCTAATACTATTTTAATTAGCGTGGTAAAACCAAACTAAATATTTACCACCGGTAAATCTCGGTAGTAAATTTACAATGCTAGTTAATTAATTATGAAGTTAATTAACTTACATCATCTCCACCATGCGTTTCAGACCCGTTCGGAACAGGCGCGGGTGTTTGATATCCGGGATTTTCAACATTGTCGTTCGTAATGTTACGACGTGTCCCGGTCTCATCGAGCCACGATTGCCCAGGCCCGTTACCATATCCCAGTGTGGCGTAGGGCAATCCGTCGTACGCCATTTCGTCACTGTACCGAAGGATGTCGTTTCCTCTTTCAGGATAGCCTACATATTTTAAGAAATATAGAATTAATTTCGATATTTCAGCGCAAGCGAATAATTTCAAAATTTCAGAAACAATGCATCGTTAAGAAATTACAGGAAATTTAACTATTACGAAACTTTTTTTCAAAGTAACATTTCTTTCGTCAAGAAATGTAACAAACCCGGAAGAAACGAAACAGTTATGATTCGTACTAATCCAATTGTGGTAAATTGTTTCCGGGAAATTTATAAACTTGTTCCCAACCTAATTCATTCCCGCTTAAAAAATTGAAATTCCCGCCGTAAAACAAAGCTTTTAACTTACCGGCAAAATACATGACGTGTGCGTGATCAGATGTCACGACAATCAACGTGTCGGAATCATTGGTCAGATCGTCCCCTTTTTTGATTGCTTTGTCGAACTCGACCGTCTCCCTAAGCGAGCGATGAATCATATTGTCGTGATGGGCGTGATCAATTCGGCCACCTAATTCATAATTTTGATTTTTTTTGTTAAATCCCAGTAAATTAAAATGAACCATTAATAAAAATAAATAATTTTTTTTGAACCAACTTAAAAATCATTCCTGCCTATTAAAAAAACGGCAAAACGTAACAAATTAAAAGTTTCGATCTCAAACACAATTTGTCAATTTTCATAAAAATCATTTCCAAAAACTAAATTTTGCCCCTAAAAATTTCATTATTACATATTTTCACTTTTTTTACGGAGAATATTTCACAAAAATCTTTTCTTAAAAATCAATTTTACCTGCACGAACTACCCTTTAAAGGTACAATATTACAGATTTGTTTACATTTTTTACAACAAAACTTCATCAAAATCACTTCCTACTTACAAAAATTCTCACAACTTGCCCAACAAATTGATAGAGGGCGGTACTTTTGAATCTAAAAACTCCTTACCTTCCACAAAAAGGAAAAATCCGTTCGGATTCTTGCTCAAGATTTTAATCGCCGCTTCCACCATTTCTTCCAAGGAAGGATCATTCTGCTCCGCTTGCAAGTCGTAATACGCCACGTGCGAGGGGTTAAACAAACCCAGCACGAATTCCGTATCGTCGTCCAAACTTAAAAGTTGGTCCCGCCCCCAAACGTAACTAGCTTTGCTGTCGTTTTTCGAAGCAACCCACTCCTCGATTAGATTAACGTTGTCATTCCGATAGCCAAAAACAGTTTCGAATTCTGGGTCTCGAGTCGTGGTTGGGGTGAAGTGAGACCTTCCACCGCCCAAAATGACGTTGATTTTTCTCCCGGGGTCACTCATAATGAGTTGCGTGGCGATATCCGGGCATACTTTGGGATCTTGTAAGTCTTCCTCAACTTTACCGTCATTTTCCCAGTCGCGGTCAGCAATGTGGGCGTAACAACCGGCAGGAGATGCGTGCGTTACGCGGGTAGTTGTTACGACGCCGGTAGATTTTCCCGCGGCCTGGGCAAAATAAATAAATTGGGGAAATTTTAAGGAAAGTGCCGCATATTTTTTTAAAATCAGAGTTAACGTCCTCTTTTATCCGGGTTTTGAATTTGATTTTTTTGTCTTTCAACTTTCCCTGCTTCCAAGTATTCTAACGGCGATTTTGAAACCTTTTTATCTCACTGCGTTTTGTATGAAAATTTTACAATTACATCTAAAAATCGATAATTTTTAGGTTTGCAAAGTTAGGAGATTAGAATTTTGATTTTTTTTTCAAATTTAATGAAAAAATATTTAATTTTTACCTACTATTTTGAATCTATTTTATTTTCTTATGGAAGAGAAAACTCATAATTCTACAGGATTAGCCTCTTATCTTTGCAAACATAATTATCGATTTTTTAGATACAATAAAATCTTCATTTTGTAAAAACCGCACGGCGATGGACACGTTTCAAAATTTCTATTTGAATACGGATGAAGGGAAAGTTGAGACAATCAATTTCAAAACCCTCATACAATGTTAAAAAGAACCATGCGTGGCTAAATATAGCAGAAAATTACAGAGTTTTACACACCTGTGCCCACGCCAAGGCTGAGTGGACATGGTTCGTTGAATTCGCTTGAGCTTGGCAGTTCCTTCGGAGTACGTTGGAGGTCACCCCAATCGTCCCATCGTTCGCTTTTACCCCACTCAAATATGCCGTCGCACTGCACGCGCTGTCTGCGACTTGTCCGTCAACACAGTACGTCTAAAAATAGGAGAAATTAAAAAAATTGATAAAAAACGACAATATCCAAAAAGTAACAGAATCGGAGTGACCTTTGATAAGAAATTTACCACGCAGAAACAAACTATTGCCAGTCTGGTAGGAAGTTACTTATTACCAAATCACTCTTACAAAACTGGTATTAAATTATTAATGACCATAGTACATATATGATTTTACCGGCACTGGTAATATCGCGCACTACCGTTTGTAATATTGTGATAATGAAAAATTTACCACTTAGAAATAAACTAGACAAACTAGACAAACAAACTATACTACCAATCCAGTAGAAAGTTATTACCAGATCAATACCAGTATCTACCAGATTTTAAAAATGGTATTTTACTTTTTACAAAATTTGGGTCCGAATAATCAAAAAACGAGTGGTATTTGTCATCCATACTTATTTTTATTTAGCATTGAAAGCTAACTATTATGCATGTAGCTTTTAAAAAAACTTAATTGACAACGTAATTAAATAATGCGTCAATTTTCCATAATCAAATTAATTAGTGATAATGATGCCCTTGTTTATTTTCCAATCGTATTATCTTCATGTTTTTCTGCATCACGTACACAAATCTATTTTTACATACGCTAGATAAACTAACTGATGCCAAAATGATGTAAATATTTTGTAGGTTGAGGAATTTGCAAAAACACATTGTGTAGTAATTTCTTCCCTGTGCAAAATAAGTCCCTAACAATTTTATTTACAAAATATTCAAGATTTGATACAACAAAATTTATATGCTTGACTGCAACGTTGATAAAATTAAGTGATATTTTAAAGAAATTTATTGAAAGATCCAGGTAATCTTCAAAGTTCAAAGTTTTAAATAATTAAATAAAAATACACTAGAAATTTGTTGGTAAATAAGCCTAGCGGGTTTTACCAAATCGGTCACTCATATAACTGAGGCAATTATTGACGGTAATTTTGTAAAATCCGTAAAACTTAGAAAATTTTACAAAATTTTATAAATATTTCCAAGGAAAATTAGGTTACAAATTTGTGTAAACTTCCTCAGATCAAGGGTGTCTCTTTACCTTGGTAGTTTGCCAAAGTTTGTAAACTTATTTTACAAAAGTTACGGATTTTACAAAGTTGCTAAGCCCTGTGTGAATTGCCTCATTAATTGTTTTTTGTCTGGTAATAGATATATTTTTTACAAACCAAATTTTTAATTTGACGTGATTAAGCCCAATTATTCTGATAAGCAGACCACCGATAAGGCATAAACTCACCTTGGACGCTCCCGTGAATGGAAACGAGTCCATATGCAACTCTGACTCCTCTCCGAATGAGGGCTTGTCATCGACCTTTTGACCTTTAAAAATCCGTGCCGCCGTGACCGTGGGAACTAGAAGAGGAGTGTAATATTTTTAATTTTATGTTGTAAAATTTGTCAAAATTCAAAATTTAATTGTGTTTCGGAATCTAGGATTAAGAAGATTTTGAAAAGATTTTGATTGGTTAAAATTGATATTTTTTTACCTGACATTCCATCGCCCAAATTGAATATCACATTTTTAGCAATACCCTCAATCGGTTTGGCCAGCAATTTTTTCTGTAGTCTGTCTTGAGCATCGGACTTCCAGTAGTTGACGTCTGGAAAATTTACCAATTTTTACCACAATTTACCAATTTGTAAAACATGCATTTTTGTATTTTTTGTTTGATATCTAAGAGATTGGTCCAGTTTAAACTTTGCATAAATTACTGTTCCCATTTGCAAATCGTTAGAACGCGGTAACAACGAATAATCCTGAGTAAGGATTATGGATTTTAATCCTGGATTACGGATTATTAATCCATAATCCCTAATCCGGAAATTTCCAAAATTTATTGATTCATTCAGATTAATCCGGACATGAATTAATCTAACGATTATAATTTACTCATAATCCATTATGTACATTATTTTGTTTTTAATCCATCATCCTTAATCCACTCTCAAAAACCAATAATCACCCAGCTCTGTTTATTACTATGTTATAATTGCAAAATTTTCACAATTTATATCACAACGCTAAAAGGATAGCATCCGGTAGTAACTTTAGCGCAGATAATTAAACACAAATTAATGCTAAAGTTCATAAAAATATCTGAATAACTATATAATTTTGATAAGCAAATGACATTATTTATTTTCAATTAATGGATATGTTAAGAAATTTTACTTTCCGAATTTACCTAGTTGTAGCTTCACGCCGTATCCAAATCAGTTCGAAATTCATTATGCAAAAATAATTTTCCAGGTTCCTAGTTCAATGATTTTGCGAGATAAAGATAACATTTATACATTTATGTAAAGCTAATTTTCGTCAGTACAAGATCCTTGAACTTAAAAAATTAGTTTATTACCTGATTCATTTATTTACCATTTTTACTTAATAATAAAGCTCATAAAAATATTTTGTTAATCTATCTTGAAAAACAGGTGTAAAAAAATTAGCTGTTTTTTAATTGATGGGAAGTTACTTCCTGAATTTTAGTTGTAGCTTCACGCCGTATCCAAATCAATTCAAAATTCATTGTACAAAAATAATTATGCAGATATTTTTCAAATTGATTTTCTAGGAAATTTTGTATGAACAAATGGCAAGGGAATTAGCAAATTTCTTAAAATCAATACCAAAAAATATATAGTACCAAAAATTAGCTTTTTACGTGAAAGTATGAAATGTTGTATCTGAAGCTTGGAATTGGCAATCATTTTTTAATTGACGGGAAATTTACTTCCTGAATTTAAGTTGTAGCTTCACGCCGTATCCAAATCAATTCAAAATTCATTGTGCAAAAACAATTATGCAGATTTCAGAGGTAAAAACAATTGCGAAGATTCATACATTCACACAAAATGTGAGGTGCAGCTCCATATTAATTTTATTGATTTTTTTGAATAACATGACGTGCTGGTTTTCGCAGAAATTTATTTTTAGAATAATGACAAATTAACAAACTAGTTTTTTAAGTTCAATGGTTTTATATTATCAAAAAGTTAACTTTTGGCTAAATTTCAATTTCTAGATAAATTTATGTTGCAGTGTTACGCCGTAATCGGAATCAGTGAAAATTCATTTTATTAAAATTATAAAAAAGATGTGGAACCGGTTCCTCAGGAGTTTTGAGATGGTAATATTTCATAATTTAGGATATTCCTTAATAATATTCCTTAGTTGAAACTTATTCATTTTTTGATGATACATAACTATTGATTTGGAGAAAATTTCTAACTCATTTGCAATTTTTTCAATACAAATTTCCTCAGAAATTAATTCACTAATTTTTTCCAAATCGATAGTTTTGTATTTAGTAGCAAGAATTAACTTTACATTAAAACAGAAAGAGTTGCATTTATCTCAAGACTCATGAAATTAATGGAATTTTAGAAATTTGCATGTTAAAGAGATTGAATAAAGTGAGATTAGAAATGTGTGACGCACCAACGTTTATCATTTTATAGCACCTGAAACGGACACGTTTCGAATTTTTATAGGAATATGCTAATTATGCAGTTATGCCCCTTATCTGCACTGTTTACCTTATCATAGGCAAAGTTCAGCACGTATGTATTTGTACATACATCGGCTGACAAACAAATTATTTATTCAACGTGATTCCCACATGGGCAAAAACAATGGTTTGACCGTGACATTGGTCTGGTCTGGTCCGGTCTGGCTGCAGCCGGACCAATGTCCGTGACCAGGACATGATTGGGTCACGTGATTTGTGGGACATTGAACCAAAATTGGTTCCATGTAAGTAGGTAATGCCAATTTGCATGATATGATTGCATGATTGCATATTTTTCATAACGCGGATCTTTGTAACCGACTAAAATTAAGAACGGATCTTATTTAACTGATCATAAGGTAGTACTTTTTGCGACCATAATTAATACTTTTGTTCCCGAATTCTCATCATGAAATCCAAGCTGATCATAACCGAGAAAAAATCTTGTCTCGACAGAAACGCAAGCTTGGTTGACTAGCAAAAGCTTCCAATGGTTGGCTAAGAATTGATAAAATTTGGGAAGTTTTTAAAAAATTTAAATTTTAAAGCACGATCTTAACGTGTATTATTATTTCTAGGAAAATCGCATACTTATGAACAATGAAATACTTTATTATGAGTAAATGTTTCTGTAAAAAAATACACTTTTAATGGTCGGGAGTAGTAGTAAATTATGATCAGTTAAACATTCCCCATTACACTGAGAATAAAATGTTAGCAAATTGCTACTGGGCGGTGTCTATATATAACCTCACCGGTTTGGTAGCGATTTTCTACGGAATTGTAGTAAATTTGCTACCACATTTTGACTAACCGTAACAGCGGGGTAAGGAAATGCTACAAGATGATAGCAAATTTACTACAATTTTGTAGCAAATCGCTACGGAACCGGTGAGGTCATATATAGACACCGCCCAGTAGCAATTTGCTTACATTTTATTTAGAGTGTACGTAATACGACGACTACCGTAGAAAAATAATGATGAAGAAATAGGTTACACTTGAAATAAGGGAAGGCTGAGGTGAAATGACTCATCGGTTTGCATATGTATTTCATTTAATTTTCGAGGTGATTTTAATTTCGGGTCGAATTTGAGGAATTTATTAGACAATTTAGAATTTTACAATTTTATGATGACACATTTCTAGGATTTTTTACTTGATTTTATTCTGAAAAATGGCTACTTTTAAATTAACCATCTACATCAGGCAATAATTTAAAGATTTCGGATATTAAAATCTGAACTAGATATTCATTCGTTTGACAACTCATATTCTCAAAACATGAGTTGTAAAATAAAAATTCTGTCAGGGATTGCACGCCATTTCGACGAATTTAGAGATTTTATTTTTTGATTAACATTAATAATTTCAGATGTTTAGATGTTTATTTCAGATGTGCTGCGGATATGGTTTGCGTATTGGGAAAAAATCGTTACCGCGTGTAGTAAATATTTGAAACTAAACTTATCACGAAACCCTGGATTTGTTCCGGTTAGAAATTGATTAAAATGTGGAAACAATTTAGAATTATTTTTGTTTGAGAAAGATTTGCAATAAAAATTTCCTCAAAACTCAAATTTCACACCTTCCGGTTAGAGGTTGAATCTTTACCAACATGGTAATGATTACATGCGGTGATCATTTTATGCCAAGTTATTTTAAGCGTATGTATACCCTTCGTTCGTAGATGTTTTTTTTGTAAAATTGGGTACCATAAATAGATTTACAATCTTTTGCAGTTTACAAGATCACGAAGAACGGCGTGATTTGTTACTGAATTTAATACCAAGAGAGCTGTATTATGCTTTCTGGATATGAATAACGTCAATAAAGTTATATAAGGTGTACAAATAAAAAATTTGTTATCACAAATTATGACATTCGGCCGATCTATTCAATGACATTCGGCCGATCTATTCAATGACATTCGGCCGATCTATTCAATGACATTCGGCCGATCTATTCAATGACATTCGGCCGATCTATTCAATGACATTCGGCCGATCTATTCAATGACATTCGGCCGATCTATTCAATGACATTCGGCCGATCTATTCAATGACATTCGGCCGATCTATTCAATGACATTCGGCCGATCTATTCAATGACATTCGGCCGATCTATTCAATGACATTCGGCCGATCTATTCAATGACATTCGGCCGATCTATTCAATGACATTCGGCCGATCTATTCAGAACTGTTAATTTTGCATGTTTTTTAGGGAACAAATTTGTGTTCAACTCAATTTCGTCATGCTTCAATTATTTTTTTTCGAATTTCAGAAATCTGAGCAAACTTGCAAAAATTTGCATGCTAATTTTCCTTTGGAAATGTGTGTAAAATTTTGTAAAAGTATGTAAGTTTACGGATTTTACGGACTTTGCAAATTGACTTTATCATCCAACTTTCGAGTGTTATATAATAGAATATGTACACATTTTCAAGGTTATGAAAAGATGGAAACATTTTAGATTTTTTTTAGAAATGTTTTTTTTTGGATTAATTAATTTTTTTGGATTAAATTATTTTACCTTCAATCGGCAGTGGGTCTTGCTTCGTCTCCCTAAATTTGCTGTAATCGTGTCTGGGATGCATCAATTTTTCTCTCTCTGAAATTTCCAATTAAAAATTATTAAACTTTAATTAATTAAAAATTATAATTGGTCATTAATTAATTAGCAATTAAGTAGCAATTAATGATTAATTATTTCATAACTTTACGAACCTTCTTCCGAAACTCGTCCCTCCAGCCGATGACTTTCCCCTAGGGATGCCAGAATTGCAAAAAATATGCAAAATTGCCAAATGCTAATTGATCTCTGCATTTTGATAAGTATTAAATCCATGAAAAATGAGACAATGGTGCTAATTATAACGCTCCCTGATCCAGACTGGTATCGAATTATGTAAACCATCGAATTCGATATCGTAATAAAGATAAGCGTTCGAAGTAATCAGTGGCATTTAAATTCGCAAACAAATTCGCGAACTTCATCATTGAAAACAATAATGATTATCAGGGGCGAGATCATCTTCAAGTTTTATTGATGAGCGTGTATATATTACTCAATAATGGGATGGTTTCGATGTGCATAATTAATTTAGCGAAGGGGACCGTGCAGAAAGGATGTGTGCGAATTTTTCTCGAATTTTTGCCAACTTTTATGCATTTAAGGGTTCGGTGTGAAATTGTCTCGGGTAACTTTCGGTCACCTATTGGCTTGGTTTTACCCTTACTTTGGTATAAATTTTGACTCAACTTTAGGAAAAAAAATTAATTTTGTGCACAAAGAATTTTACATATTTACAAAATTTAGGAAACTTTTAGGAAAAAAGTTAAGAAAAACTTAATGGCGTGCAACCTTGCAATTCATCGAGTTTATGCAAACATAATACCTGTACAACTTTTAATAAGGCAATTTACGCAGACCTTAGTAACATTGTAAAATCCGTAAATTCTGTAAACTTACAAACTTTTACAAATATTTATAAGAAAAATTAGCTTCAAAATTAGTGTAAACTTACTCTAGTTACAAATTAAACTTTTTATTTTGAAAAGTATGCTAAATTATTTTACAAATTATTCCGAATTTACAAAGTTACCAAGGACTGCGTAAATTGCCTGAGTATAAAATTAATGACGAAATTTATAAAATAGATATCAGCATTTCCACACTCTACCAACCTCGCGAAATATCTGGATTAATTTTTGCAAGGCATTGTCATTTTTTTCGCAGAACAATGTTCCTGACTAAAGTAATGCATGTGTGCTGAACGTCCTCGTTATAAAATACGTCCAAGACCTCAATTAGGTGACAAAAGTCTGTCAGACTTTTAGCAAGTCGATATCTACACTGTTAAAAATCAGGTATAGTCAGGCAGGTATTGATTCCTCTGTATTAAAGTTGTTACCGTTTGGTATTAAAATTACACCGGTCCGGAAAAAATTTGATATGGTAAAACTTTAATATCAAGTTATTACTACACAGTATTACTTATCAATGCCACTTTGGTAGAGTCATACATGAATACGGCTTGGTATTATTTTAATACTGGATTTCTAAGAGTGCACATTATTCAAAACTGCGTTTATATCGAGTGAATTATTAAATGTTACCTAAAAATTGGTGACATTCTTTACGCACGTACCCCAAATTATAAATTTGTTGGGCAAGTACATAAAGTTGCAAAAATCGGTGGTGTGGTGATGATAATTGAAATAATAATTCTGATGAAATATGTCCCATCAAAAAAAGTTTGACGGTATTTATGAATGGATTAACAAATTTAATTGATTGATAAATTGCAAATTAAAGCATGCAGATAAATTGCACACTTAGAAATTTTTAAATAATTTGAACCCACAGGTTTGCGGATTGGGTTACCAGTAAATAATGCGGTTTGGCAACATTGTAAACTTCGTATATTCTTTGTCCTTTCACAAAATTTTACAAACATTCCTGACAAAAATCCAAAATTTTTTGTAAACTTGTTCAGATTAAGGGCTTCTGTTAATTTTGTAAAAATTTGTAAATTAATTTGAAATAAGGAAGTTACGGATTTTACAAGTTTTTCCTACTTACTAGTATAAAATTGGTTGATTATATTTTGTTACAAAAAAAACTAAATTTATGTAAATATTTCGCATGCTATTAGTGAGAAATTTCAATTAATTAATTTTGACTACTTAACTAATTTTAGTGAGAATGAAATTTTCCATCTAGAAAAATTTAAGAAACATTGATAACATTTAAAAATTTATACAACGGTGTGGAAAAATAACAAATTCTAAATCAACTATTAATTTTTTGTTTGAAATTTTGAATATTAAAGCAAAATTATTCCAAGAAGTATCCAGGGTCGACGTATCACTTTCATTTGAAAAATAAAATCCAGAAAGACTAACGTACCAGCTAACTAATTAATTGTGTAACATAATTAACTAATTAATCATGTTATCAAAGAGGGAATTCACCCAGTCCTTGGGAACGATTCCCGGAAATTTGGGTATGGAAATTTGGGTATGAGGAAATATGGGTATCGGAAGTTTCGGTCTGCAGAAATTTTGGTCTCGGAAATATGGGTAGCGGTATATTTGGGTATGCAGAATTTTAGGTATGGGAAATTTGGGTATGACAAAAAATACTTTTCAACAATTGATCTTCGGAAAATGTAGTGGCCCTTAAAAGGACCGATTATTTACAAATTAATTACATGAGCTACAGTATTTAACAAAATTGTAGATGCAAGTTGCATCATGCAACGACATATTTTTTATTTCGATATGATCCCAAAATTTCTAAAATTCCGAACTTCGGGAACAAATGTCAAAAGTATCTACGGACAATTTCCGCGTCGTAGATTTTTAGCGTGACGGACAGGTCGAAGGTCAGCATTTTTTTAAAGGCAATCAAAATGAAAGGCCAAAAATAAAACTCCATGGATAATTTTTTTTCGACTTCCCAATATTTTTTATTGGACGCGGCAAGGCGTCACGAAAAAAATGAGCTATCGTACGACCGTGTACGATTTGTTTTGACGCCCACAGGAATTTTTCGCCCAGGACAGTTTGAGGTCTAACATCGTGACCGTGGCGAAATTCAAACAATTAATATGCAAAGGCATGTATTCAATGTCAATATGGTTTTGACTTGGTATCTGCATTAGCTACCGCACAACCAACGGTCCTTTTAAGGGCCACCACATTTTCCGAAGATCAATTGTTGAAAAGTATTTTTTGTCATACCCAAATTTCCCATACCTAAAATTCTGCATACCCAAATATACCGCTACCCATATTTCCGAGACCAAAATTTCTGCAGACCGAAACTTCCGATACCCATATTTCCTTATACCCAAATTTCCATACCCAAATTTCTGAGACCCAAATTTCCATACCCAAATTTCCGTACACCCTTGGGAACTTTGCAAAGTCCGTAAATTCTATAAAATAATTTTACACACTTTTACAAAATAAAAAGACGCCCTTGATTTGAGAAAGTTTATAAAGATTTGTAAGCTAATTTTCCTTCGAAAAATTTGTGTAATTCTTCAAAAGTTTCCAAGTTTATGGATTTTGCAAAGTTACCAAGCCCTGAAATTTAATTGTCTCAATGTGTCAAACATTTAAAAAATGAGCAAACTCCATTTTTCAGTGTGTCTCAATTAGTTCGCCTGCACTATCAGGACACGTTTATGACATGTTTATGTCATAAAACAATTGAACCTGTTGAAATTCGCACCTGGTTACAATCTCCGAATTACTTTTTCCCTTGTCTGGTCTTGCATTACCAGATATTTGATTGACAAGTGACACGATTTGTAGCAACCAGTAGCCTCATTGCGTCACTTATTGGGGAATTTTATTAATAATTATATATTTACAACGATTAATTAGTAATTAATAATTAATTGTGATCATTAATTACGTTCAAAACGAATGTATTTAACAATCGATTCTTGATTTCCTTAAAAAATTCCCGTCTTTTTAATCACATATTTCCAATGAAAAAAAAACGTTTTGAAATTTCGCCATTAGTAATTTTACATAAAAACTGCATTTCTGCATAATTTATTTTACAAATTAAATTTTCAGTGCAATTTTAAGACACAATTTTTGCGAAAATCTTTCGAATCGCTATTAATTTTACTGGGTTACAAATATCCGCGTTATTAATGTGCGAAATAATTATGCAATATGACATTATATTGAATCGATTTTGGTTCAATGGCCCACTAATCACGTAACCCAACCAGCCAGACCAATGCCACAGTCAAACCTTTGTTTCCATCCATGTGGGAATCAGGCTAGTTATGTAAGTTTGCTTGTACAAGTACGTGCCTAAATTTGACAATGATAAGTAATTGATAAGGTAAACTGTGCAGATAAGCTGAATTACATAAATTTGTAGGCTGGGCACATTCTTACCAAACGTTCAGACTAGAACTTTCTACTCTATGAAATCGAACTAGAATGTTAATTAATCTTTTTAATTAAAAACTCGTACCAAATTTTTAAATTTTTTTGTATGTATTACGATACGATATGAAAATGCCTTTTTTCACAAGCTATGCGGCAAAACCGCTGAAAATTTCTATTTTTTCATACCAAATATGAGTTATGGATTTTAATTTTAGAAATCGCGCCATATCTTAAAAACCAAGGCTTATTTCGAAAAAGTCAATCAGTCGAGGGCACTAGCCGGGACCTTCCCCAATACGATCCCGTTTAGTTTAGGTTACCAAAATGTATCGTCTAGGCTGTAGCTCAGTGGAGAAATTGGTAGCCGAAATTGCAAAATTTTTCGGAAATTTGAACTTACCGCCTGTACCTAGCATTATTTCGAAAAAATTTTCGAGTAAATATTATAGATAATGCGGTTATGAACATATTTGCTATTACATACAACTTTGTGTTATGCACCCAATTCATTCAGCGAAACATTTATGATTTCGAAACCGAAAAATCGGTTTTTATTGAATTTCTTGAAAATGGTTCAAGATACCATGAATTAGAAAAAAGTCATTTTAAAACTTTTCGAGAGGCATCTAATGCACTTTACGGCATCTCTTTACGCCCAACCGTTTTTTTGTACGAGCCCCCGACATTTCCCATAAGAGTGCCTGACAACATACTATATGTTCCACATATAGCGCCAAATGTCTCAGGTTGCCCCGACATTTGAGCTTATGGTGGAAAAAATAGAAAAATCGAGCAACAATTACCTACATGACAATTTATTTATATAAATTTTGAACTAATTCCCATTACGGCGTTAACCTATTCACAAACTAAAATTCACAAACTAAAATTCACAAACTAAAATTCACAAACTAAAATTCACAAACTAAAATTCACAAACTAAAATTTCCATTAAGTAAGCCACCGTGTTTCTTCTGTTAAAAAACAGCTGCACGAATTTAGTGCAGAAAAATGTTTATAAAATAACACCCATCAAAAATCCGGAAAAGCGTGAGAAAATGTACGAAAATGCACACAA